TAGATAGATAGATAGATAGATAGATAGATAGATAGATAGATAGATAGATAGATAGATAGATAGATAGATAGATTTTTTTTAAATCTAATCTTTTTTTATTTTACCTATAAAAAAGACTTTAATTGCTGGATGTCTGGCCCCTGTGCTGTTGCCTTTGAATAAATGTGACCCCCTGAGCAATTTAGTTGAATAGCCCTGTTTTATATCCAGTCCTCTCAACAACTTGCCTTCTTATTCCATTCATTTAGTTTTACAAGCTTTTGTTGTTCCGTTTTTTTTAGATATATTGCTGCCATAAAAATAGTACAATTTCTTATCTTAAACCAGAGATATTTCTCTGGGGGCCACAGTTACTCAAAGCTAACGGTTCAGGGAACAGACATCAGAGGGGGCTTGTTTTGTTGCTTTGAATCATAAAATCTACATTTCAAGAACTCCTTTTTTATGTACATGCATAGGCCACAAGTTGTATTGTCCTGTCTTGAAAATTTGATATACTTTATATAATAGTGTTTGTCATTGAAATATGAGTTTGTAAGCCTGGCCCTTGCCTTCCTACGCAGTTCCACTCAATTCTAGTTTCTCTTCACTGCTCCGTCTGGGAYTTCTCCCATAGACAAAGATTTCTTCAGGAGAATTTCCTTCGGGCCAATCAGAGAACAGAAGGCGAAGTTTTGACATCTCACAGAACCAGGTGAGGAAGGAGATACAGTAAGTGCAGCTCTGTGTTAAAAAAAAGGCTTCTCTATGTCATTTGAAGTAGGGGTACTGATTTCCTTAATTATGGGAGATCGGACATCGACAGATACTTAGACAAGATCGGTGGAAAAGATCGGTTTCTCCTTTAAAGATTCTCAATGGACTCTGTGGAGCCAATCCCTGTGTGATAATAATGTCTCATGCTCCCTGAAACAGTCCTTCACTGTTCAAGCCTGATGAATCCTGGCGTTGTCATCTTGGAATATGGCCGCGCCATCAGGGAAGAAAAAAATCCATTGATGGAATAACCTGGTCATTCAGTTTATAGTCAGCTGACCTCATTCTTTGASYACATACTGTTGCTGAACCTAGACTTGACTAACTGCAGCAAACCTACATTAGAGACCTTAGTTAAATCCAGGTGGTCACTTTTTCTTTTTTAAGGCGGGGCAGTGTACATTAGTTTGACACAATGACTTAAAACTATAGTACAACTTCAAATTTTCCTATGCCAACTGCATATGTTTTTTGTTAGAATAATTTACAGTATTTATAAAAGAAATGTGGTCTTAATGTGCAGATATCCAATTCAATATTTAATATTTTCAAAGATTTGTGTTATAGTATTTGTTTAACCAGATATTCAGGTTTTGAAAACTTAGTGAACCTTAAGGTTTTTTCATTTTCCCATGAATGAAGCAGCAGGTAGAAGTCCACAGGAAGCAGCTGAAGGGTCTGCTGTGTGAGTGACACAGGCTGTCATCTGGCTGCAAGCAAAACAAAGCTATTATAGCAATAACCTTAGCAACAACTTGGCACAGCCCGAGGAAAAAAAAACTTAACAACATCCAACTAAGTCAAGAACACACTTCAGGGAGCAGGCGGGTAAACATATCACTATCAGCGACTATCAGAAATAGAAAACATAAGAGCAAGTCCAGAGAGTCCACTAGTCACAAACCATTCATAAGACTGAAGAAGAAAAGTTGGACTTTACAAACAGGATCTGTTCTAGGACAGAAACTAATATCAGTCAACAATCTATCAGAATGACTGGATAATGAAGCTTAAATTAGACATTAGTTGTAAAGTAATAAAGTCATTCCAACAGCGCCTACACAGGTGTTTACAGACTAATGACGGGACAGAAAGACTGAACAGTTAGGTGTATATAATCTACTCTGATTCAGGAAGATGCAGCATAGCTGGATGGATGTCGCATCACCGCATAAATGACCAATGACAGAAAGCATATTGCAAAGTAATTATCTCTGGATAAAGAAACTGAATTTCTTTAAATGGCTGAACTAAGTCAATCATCTGATCTCATCTGCAGTGCTGTGGTTCAGATTTGCTCCTCATAAAAGTAATGCAACTTTAAAAYCTCAAACACAACAAGAAGCAAAGATGTAACAGCACCTCTGAAAGCTAACTGTCCATTTTTGTCTCCACCTCCAGAAACTCAGAAGCAGCATAGTTAGAAAAAACTCAACAAGACAGCTGTTGTAATTATAAGTCTCATATTTTAACATATTCAAGGTTTGGCATTGCAGTTAGCTTTGATGAGACTTTAATCTTGAAAGTAAATATAACTAATGCGTTATTTTTACAATGGCAGGGACTCTTGGGAAGGACTGAAGAAAGAAGAGATTAACTGTGGAATTGGACAAATTGCATCATGACTGGCCAATCAACACTTAGAAATCCAGTATTTCTCCAGTCAATGAAATTAAAAAATCTAAGCTGGTGTGTCAATTTAAAGAGCTGARTCAAAAGGCAAAACTCTCAATTTACTGCTCTGCCTAYGTTCCAATCCTCATATTTCATCATGAGATTTGGAAAATGAACGAAAGTAAGGAGATCCCAGATACAAGCGTCGTTCCTTCGTAGGGTGGCCGGACTCACTGTTTGAGACAGAGTGAGGAGATCAGTTATCAGGGCAGAGCTCAGAGCAGAGCTGCTACTCCTTCTCACTGAAAGGAGTCAGTTGAGGTGGTTCAGGCAGTCAACTCCCTTTGGAGGTTTTCTGGGCATGTCTCACTGTAAGAGGCCCCAGGGCAGACCAAAAAAAACTTATTGGAGAAATCGTGTATATTTTACGGCCTRGGAACTCCTCAGGGTCCCCTTGGGGGAGCGAAGAGGGCTGGCTGAGTTTCTCATCTGTGACTGGACTGTCGATGACAGGTAGAAGATGGAGATGAAGACATTTCTTTTTTTAACCAGTCAAATTTACCTTCTTCAAACTAAGACAATATTTCAGTTTTTTTTCAAATAATTTCAAATTTTTCTTTTCTAAAACCAAGAAAAGGAAAAGAAAATCCTCCTTATATTATTTTTAGTTATTTAAGTGACTTTAGTTCACTTATGTTTCAGCAATTTTAAAACAAACTTATCTTGCTTTAATAAGATAATGTTAAAATTTCTGTGCCTAACAAGTAGGGGTGGGAATCTTTGACTATCTCACGATTCGATTCAGATTTTTGGGGTCAGGATTCGATTCAAAATCGATTTTTCATTCAAAACTCTGTGAGCCCATTTGCCGTGTTCCTAAAGTGCTTCATCTTCATTTTGCAAAGTTTGCACACACTGAAGCTCATGTCGAACTCAGACTCATTCAGTAAAAACAAAATGAGCCCAAATCTTTGCATTCAATAAATACGGGGTCAGTTGAATCTCTCTTTCCTCCAGTTTTGTAGTTTCCTCTTTGTTTTGGTGCTTTCTGCGCATGCATACAGTACATTCCAGAACCGGCTGCTTATGACATCAGGACATCCCAGGTGGTTACAAAATGTAGGTTGACAACCTTTGGATATATATAT